TCTTATTTAAGGGCGTCATAAATAATATTGAGCATTATATTTCAACAAGCAAACAGTCTTCTCCTCTTACGGTGTCTCTGGAGGATGTTGCTAATGTTAGCCATAGCTATGCTAACACTTGCTGCTAATGTTTACTGATGTTACTGACTAGGCTTAATGTCATGGTGACACTGATGACTGGTCACTAACATTAACCGTAATCATGGTTGCTGACCTTACTAACTCACTCTGGTCATGCTAATGCATGCGGGAAATGCTGATGTTAACCCTACTCTTGCTAATGTTTGCAGATGTTAACATAGCAGTAGTTAATTGCACTGATGTTAACCACATAGTCATACGTTTGCTAACCTTGTAGACAATTACTGTATTCATTCTGACGCATGTTGATGTTACTGATGTTAACTGTAGTCCTGCTAATATTTGCTGACATTGGTACCAGTAACCTTAGTCTTGCTAATGCTTGCTGACATTACTAACATTAACCCTAGTCACGCTAAAGCTTCCTGAGGTTACTGATGTTAAACTTAGCTATATTAACATTTGTGAACAGTAACTCTAGTCATGTTAATATTTGCTGACTTTACCTTAGTCATGCTAATATTTTCCGGTATTACTGACATTAACCCTTGTCATGCTAATGTTTGTTAATGTTACCGACATTTCAGGCTGTTACACACTGAACTTTATCATTTACTGTGATTTATCTGGATGACGGTGAGTTCCAGCACATGAAAAACTGATGATATCTTGAACACTGAACGTGATTTTTTTGGACGGCGTAAAAATGAGACCTTATTTTATCGCTGACTGACATTACTGACATTAACCCCGTAGTCATGCTGCTTGCTGATGTTACTGACGTTCACTGTAGTCATTGAGATGCATGTTACTGATGTTACGCCTGGTCATGCTAATGTTTACTGAAGTTACTGGTGCTAACTCTAGTTATGCTAATGCGTGTTGATGCTAATGACGCTAACTCCATTCAGGCTCATGTCTGCTGACGTTAAAGCCGTTAACCTGAGTCAGTCTCATGCTCGCTGACATTAATGGCGTTAACCTAGTCTCATTTACACCAGGGTTAATGTCAGTAATGTCAGCAAGCCTCCTAGTCCTGCTTCAGCACACTCACTCACACTCTCTCTCATTCGGCTTAGTCACACCAGCACCTTCTCTAGTGCCTTCCAATTCACACTCCTTTATTATCCATCCATCCCACACACACACACACTTCTCCTCAGGCTCTCCCTCCTCCTTTAACCCACTTGTATATAAAATTCTACATTTCGCTTTGCTTTTTAAACGGCTGGGACAGAATGATCGATACGCTGCTCGAGGATTTTTGCCTTTCATGGCTTCTTTACTCTACGCTGCGCTGAAAGAGTTGCCAATTAGCCCTCCTCAGGCAGCTAGACAGACAGACGCTCGGAGAAGAACGAGGCCTTAATTGCTTGGGTCAATCAGCAAACTAAACTGCACATATAGGAGTTTGGTCTGACGCTTCTACTAGAGTTTGCCACAACTTGAAGCACTTCACTGAAAGACTGAAGTGTGAACCAAAATGTTTAGGCCACGTCAGTTAGTGCTGAACTCCTTTTTTCACATTGAGAATACAAGTGCATAGTGCTAGAAGGCTGAATACAACATAACACTTGAGGCATTTTCATGGTACATATGTATCATGATTAGACGTGCGAATATTCAATAATAAGGTAAAGTGTGAAATTCATCTAACTTAATATTGTTATCATTATGTTTGTTGAGGTGTTTTAGCGAGTAGTTTTTCTGAGCACCTTCACAGCTCAGGGTAAAGGTTGCAATGCTACCCTTTCATGCTCTGGAGTATCTATAATACCAATAATAATAATAATATCACCCAGCCGGAAAAAAAGATTCTCAGTCTGGCTGTGTCTGTGCTGGTCGGCTCTAGTCTGCGGATTTTTGGGTCAGTCGGAGTCGACAGTAGGAGAGAGAATCGAGTTGTGTGTGAGGGGCGCAGACTCAGATTATTGGCCTCGTGATCACATTTTAGACCAGTTGGAGTTTATCAAACATGTTTGATTTTTTTTGTCCTGACTCTAAGCGAAATCTGAGAGCGCGAAAGAAGAAAACACAGCAAGTAAACTAAGAAAAGTCTCTCACGTGTGGAGCGAAGCTTTTTAATGAGCTGAATTTAAGGCATGAGCACAATCGAGTTTATGTACATTCAAAAATCACACACTGATCACATTTTAAATCTATGATCTTCAGTTGAACATGTTTACCTGCTGCTTCTTTACTGTGTCAGCGCAAACGGCAGAGAAAATAGCGGCAGCAGCTCCACGTTTGTTTTTGTTTGGGTTTCCTAGTAACGGGGTTGGGGGGCGCGAGAGTCGCGCAAAATCTGTGAGTTCTGTTCGGTTCAGCCACAGCTGAAAAGTTGAGTAGTGTGTGATCTCCAGTATTTCAGTTGCCTCAAAAAATGTACAAAAAACAGTCTGATATTCTTTTCATAATCTGTTAAGACTTTAAAAGTCGTGTAGTGAACCAAAGGCTTAAGAAAAAACAGGAAATCAATTAGGACAGAAATCCCCGCAATGTATAACCACATTACTGCCATTCAATAATCATATTCAGAAAGCTACATGTATTATCTTATACATGTGGTGTTTTTTTCTTAGTACATTATGACTATATCATAAGCCATGGTAAAAGGTTTGGTAAATATTATGCCATTAAATCTTTCAATTTTAGATCAGCACACGCATAATCATTTTTCAGAGGTTTGTGAACAAGTTGAAATAGACAAAACAAACAATTCAGCAATGCTGCAATTTAAAAAAGAATTTTACATGCTTGGAATACTCAGTATTTCCAAGCGAGCATCTGAAAAACACCCTTAAACAATAATATTTACACTTCAGAATTTAGGGGTATTGTTTGTTACTGCAGTTCAAGATACGTCCAGTAGGTGGCAACAATATATTAATAGTCGGGCTGAAGCCCAGCTGCTCACATGCCCTGTATTGCTAGAAAAGCTGTGATTGTTGTTCAAATCAGTCGTATTGCATTTATGAATCAGTATGTAAAGAATTCATTTTAGTTAGTTGCCTTTATTTATTATATTGAGCCATTACATTTGGCTAGTTTGCTGTTTTTTATCATGGAAAGTAGCAGTTCCCTCCTCATCCACTCTCAGAACACACTACAACAAACAGGTTTAAGGCTGTGAGCTTCCCGGGTTTAGCATCGCCTGCATCAGGGACTAGCCATCCTTTGATAAGTATCACTATACCTACTTATTTGGGATATATATGCATTTATCAAACTTGTATTTTCCGCTTATCGTAGCATTTTGCTTATTGCCTGGTAATTTAAAGTGCTCCCTGTTTTAGCTGCAGTGGCTGGAAAGCAGTGCTGTTTGTTGAGCTCTGAGGTGAGATGATGTGGATGCCTAATCTAAACCAGCTATAACTTATTTATTTTTAATATTTTCCCCATATTAACAATCACTGTCAATTTTAAAGGCCTTTGCTGATGACATGTTGTAGTTTAGGCTACAGTGTTTGTGGCTTGCAAAAAAACAAAGCTTCCGAATTCTAAATATCAAATTGAATACCAATGTAATGAACACGTTACTTGAGTATTCAAATTATTTGGGCTGGCTCCAGTGATTTTACGTTGACAAAAATTAAGTATTTAAGAAGAAACAGGAAGACAAAATACAAGCAATCAGTAAAAAATAAGGTAAAAATAAAATACAACGATGTCTTAATGGGCTGCCATCCAAAAAGCTATTAGTTTATGGTTATTGTTGTTTACAGACTCTCTATTTTTTGTGATCCATGCAGTTCAGTGTTCTAGAAGTATAGACCATAATCACACTAACTCAGGAAAGTGTATCGTGACAAAATGTATCACAGAAACATTAATATATCGTTATATCACCCACCCCTAAAGCCGAGGCCACAGAGAGAGCAAACAGCTTTAACTCCAACAGTATTCTTATTGGTATGCTTTCCAACCTCTTGTAGTGCCTATAAATCATTAAGCCTGAACGTGGGAAGGTAAGACCAGTATCAATCAAAATCCTCACATCCATCCTTTACAGCCTCACATACACACACACAGGAGAAAAACCCATTACGGAGATGTGAGCTGCTGTCAGACATTTCCCATTCGAGCTTATCAGCTGGGCCACTGATGTCTGGAGCAGCAAACGGGCGTGTGTAGAAAGGGCTTAAATAAAGCATGAAATCAACAGGCGGGGAGGATGGGTATGTATCTGCCCCGGCATCTCACCCGCTGCCGGACCCCCACTGCTCTTACCTTCACACCACACACACAGATACACACACTCCTAATCTGGGCCTGTTTGGCCAGGCTGCAGCTCCGAGTCAATACACACCGGCCATGGCTGACCAGGCCCGACCATGTCCGAAATGCCAACAGACTATATATATATATATATATATATATATATATCGCTGTTGTTGGAACAAAACCTTGTATCTCCAAAATATATATATATATATATATATATATATATGGTTGGATACACATATCTGTGTAAGTCAGACACCACCACTTATTTATTTATCCATTTTTCAGGAGGTGTTTCTAGATATATAGACATATAAGGCATAAGGAAGGAGAAAGTTTGCATTGGAGTCCTTGTAGTTACTGAATAATAAGCCTTAGTATGTAATATTACTTTATTTTAAGGGGCTAATTGCTGTTTTGACAGGAAATTAAATAAATGATGGTGGTCTCTGACTTTTTCACAGTACTGTATATGTTTTTTTTTTTTCTATTTGTAGGCGTGTCCAAACTTTCGACTGAAACTGTATACATTTACTGTATATATTAAGTCATACGGCCTCATTTGTGCACGGCTGTAACCCAGCCTGAACGAAACACCAGTGAGAAAATGTCACTTAAGTGTGTTCATGAATTTAACAACTGCATGTGTGCATTTATTTGCATTAATATGACATGCTGCCCACTCGCTCACTTACCGGGGAACTGGTAGCTGTAGCTGGGGGCAAATCCAGTGTATCCACGGCCGTACGTCGCAACAATGTTCGGGTAACCTGGGAAACACACAGAGGGGAAAAAGAGCTCAGGTGACCCCTCAGAAGAAGAAAAAACACAACTGCCACTCCATTTATTGTGACTCTACAGGCCTGTAGAGGTAGGAGGGGTAGCGGTCGGGGGAATGGAGGGGGGCAAAAACACCCAGCATGAGCTATTCTTACCACCATTGATCGATTGCCTGCTATTCTGGGCCAGCTAATCAACAGAGAAGAGGGAGGATATGGAGGCGAGAGAGAGAGAGAGAGAGAAAGAGAGAGACAGAGCAAAGTGAGCCAAGTGAGAAAGACAGGAAGTGAAACAGAGAGAGAGAAAGAAAAGGAATGAGTGAGAGATAAATACAGAGAGAAAAAAAATGAAAAAGTAGAGAGTATGAGAGACATAAAGGAAGAAAACAGATAGAGAAAAAGTGAAAAAAAATGAGAGGAAGGAGAGGGAGATAAACAGAAAGAGAAAATAAGAAAGTAGAGTGATAAATAGAAAGAGAAATGAAGACAGGAAAAAAGACAAAAAGAAGAGAGTGGTAGAGACAAAAAGAAAGGGAGAGGAGAGAAAAAGAATAAAAGAGAAAGAGTAAGAAAGTGTGAGAAAGAAAAAAGAAGGGGAGGGAAGGAGAGGGAGATGAAGAAAAAAGGAGAGAGAGAGAGAAAGAGTGCAAAAGAGTAAGAATGACCCAGAGAGAGAGAGAGAGAGAGGAAAAAAGGAAGGCAGAGAGTGACAGACAGAAAGACAGAGAGAGAGAGAGAGACATGAGAGAAAGATAGAGAGAAAAAGGAGGGAGAGAAAAAGCAGTGATAAAAGGAAAAAGAGAAAGAACGAGGGCAACAAAGGGGGTGAGAGCGAGGAAGGGAGAGGGGAAAGAGAGTTAAAGAGAGAAAATGGGAGAGAGAAGGAATGAGAAAGCGGAAAAGGAGAGAAAGAGTTAAAGAGAAAGAGACAGAATAGAAAAGAATGAAAAAGCAACAGGAAGAGGAAAGGGAGAGCTAGAGAGAGAGAGGGAGAGGAAAGAGAATGAATAGGAGAGAGACTGAGAAACAGAGGGAGGGGAGAGAAAGAAAAGGAGTTAAAGAGAGAATGAGAGGAGAGAGAGAAAACAGGTAAGAGAAGGAATGAAAGAAAGACAGTGAGAGGGAGAGGAGAGAAAGAAAGTTGAGGAGAAAGAGTGAGAGGAGGAGAGGGGAGACAGAATAGGAAAGAGAGAAAGACTGAGAGGGACAGAAGAGAAAGAAAAAGAGAAAGTGAGGAGGAGAGGAGAGAGAATAAAGAATATAGAATGAGAGAAAGACAGCAAGAGGGACAGAAGAGAAAGAAAGAAAGTTAAAGAGAGAAAGTGAGAGGAGAGAGAACAGGAAAGAAAGGAGAGAAAGACAGCAAGAGGGACAGGAGAGAAAGAAAGTTGAGAGAGTGAAAGGAGGAGAGGAGAGAGAAAGAAGAGGAAAGAAAGAAGGAGAGAAAGTTAAAAAGAGAGTGAGAGAAGGAGAAGAGATAGAAAGAATAGGAAAGAGAAAAAGAGAGAACGAGAGGGAGAGAGAGAGAGAGGGAGATACATTGCCAGAGAGAGAGGAAACACTCAGTTATCCATATTGGCTCAGACAACTACACCATTATGAGCTTCAGCTCCTCCAAATGAAAATGAATATTACGACGGTATGTTTGCAAGCAAACGCAGAAAAGCTTAAATCAGAATGCGTCATGAGGGAATTTCTCTGCCATCTGCTCTCCTTCACTGGAGCCGCCAAGAGACACGCCGCACTGTTTTTGTTGATACTCTAGCAAATAAGTTATTCTTGGCCTTTTTTTTATATATTTTTTTTATTTACATGCTTTATTGATTTTGTTGTCCAAAAGGAAGTGGAAAAAAAAGAGAAAAGCTTGAAAAAGCTCACACGCCAAGCAGTGAGTGAGCAAGCATGGAGGAAGCGTGGTAAATAAAATCTGGCAGACGGGCCTGTAAAAAACACGGCGCTTCATAAACACGGCGCAGCCTCGCTGACGCTTTGAATATGTACAGTGGCAGGCATTCATATTCATGGAGCCACTCACACAGGCGTACACACAGCTCACGGCTGGGGCTTTAAAGAACCTGCAGGGATGAAATGGCTCACACTGTAATAGAGAGATCCTCCTCGTACAGCACAGGAAGGGGGCGGAGCTAAGCGGTGGTTCTGTTAATGCTTGCGATGACTGCAGTTTCTATAGGTTTGTATTAGTAACTGTACTGAAATCAGAATTCACCCCTCGCACTGGTCACAACATTTGCCAAACAAGATGAACAAGAAGCACATGATGAAAAGTTTGGAATCACTGTTTTCCACATAAAAAGGTGCCAACTGGTTGACCACCTCCTTGTTTCTACACTCATTGTCCATTTTATCAGCTCCACTTACTATATAGGTGCACTTTGTAATTCTACAGTTACAGACTGTAGTCCATCTGTTTCTCTGATACTTTGTTAGCCCCCTTTTACCCTGTTCTTCAGTGGTCAGGACCCCCATGGATCCTCACAGAGCAGGTATTTGGGTGGTGGATCATTCTCAGCACTGCAGTAACACTGATGTGGTGGTGGTGTGTTAGTGTGTGTTGTGCTGGTGTGAGTGGATCAGACACAGCAGTGCTGCTGGAGTTTTTTAAACACCTCAGTGTCACTGCTGGACTGAGAACCAAAAATATCCAGCCAACAGCGTCCTGTGGGCAGCGTCCTGTGACCACTGATGAAGGGCTAGAGGATGACCAACACAAACTGTGCACCAACGGATGAGCTACTGTCTCGGACTTTACATCCACAAGGTGGACTGACAAGGTAGGAGTGCCTAATAGAGTTAAGAACTCCAGCAGCACTGCTGTGTCTGATCCACTCATACCAGCACAACACACACTAACACACCACCACCACCACTATAGAGTCATTGCAGTGCTGAGAATGATCCATCACTGTAAAAACCAGCACGAGGGAGCAGTCATGGCCAGTCGGAAGCGTCCAGTGAAAAACTTGCTAAGCCGTGCTGACTGTGTGTGCTTCTTGGCCTCAGGCTACATCCACTGACATTTCGGCACGCAGCTCTGGCTAAAACGTGTCGCCCCCAAAGAGCAGCAGAAGCGATGATGGCTGCGGGTGTGGCTGCGCTAACCTGCTAAGACAACGCTATCTGCATAAGCCACAGTAGATCAGTGCTAATAGGCCTCGGAGGGGTTGGGGGGGCGAGGGAGAGCCTGTCCTGCATGTTTAAACCCTCTACTGTGGAGCTGCCCTTTCAGGATCGGTCTCCTCTAATCACAGCCCAGCCACAATCATTAGAAAATAAATCGCAAAACTGGTCTCGGGTCAGCGGAAGAGAGTTTTAGCGACAGCATTAGCAGAAAGGGCAGACTGGTCGACCCTCGGTTACGGAGTGACTCGTCCAATCTTGAGGCAGACAAGCTGAGCCGACATGTTCGTCTGGCGAATGAATATCAAACTCCAGTTTGTTGCCCATGACAAAGTTCAATTTAATCCCAGAGTGGGCCGGGAGAAGCTGCTCACTGGGGGCTTACGAGGTGGGAGGCAAGGATGGAGAGAGAGGAAAAGTGAAGGAATGGAAAAGACTCTGAGCCTTCTCTCCAGGCCACTTTATTAGAAACCTCTACCCTTGTAGCTCCACCTTGCTGGTGTACAGTTAGAGACTGTAGCCCATCTGATCTGACTGATTCGCATTAGTGATCCAGTGGTCAGTTTGTGACCACATATTTACTGTTGGCTGAATATTTTTGGGTGGTGGTCCACTCTCAACCTAGCAGCGACACCGATGTGTGTAAAAACCCCAGTGACATCTCTGTGTCTAATACACTCATACCAGCACCACGCACACTACCCTGCCATTACTGCATCAGCATCGCTGCTGTGCTGAGAATGCTCCACCACGCAAATAACATCTGGTCAATAGCAGCTTCGTGGTCAGCAACTGACCAATACTGAATGACAGTTTGTACACAATGGGCTACAGATGGGGTACAGCTTGTAACTGTACACATATATAGCGGACCTACAGTACTGTGCAACAGTCAGAGACCACCCTTTTCCAGTCAACACAACCATTAAGTACAGTTTATGTATCTGAGAACATAAACTGCGAATAGCTGACTTCAGCTTCATATCACTCAAGAATTAGCGGTGGGCGATAATAAATAATTGCCCCCCTCTTTGAAGCCATATGATGCCCTAAATGTAACTAAAGCCCAGCAGTGAGGAGCTGAACTTTACCCTCCTCTGCTATCACTGCAGACTGGCAGGGTCGCCTACAGAGCAGCACTAGTAGCTGTTAATGAAGTAATGTTCTTTATTTGAGGGTCCCATTTCATAGAGGAAGATTTCAACCACTACCTCTTGTAACTCAGTCCCAAGGGGCAAGGAGACACTCGAAAACAAGGGGTAGGGGTAAAAATAAGAAATGGGATTGGGCCTAAGTTAAAGGAAAATAAGTGAAAAAACAAGAGATTAAAGATTTAAAGAAAAGGGGACTCCTAACAACCACCTGCAATACCTGGTAGACGCCAAAACTATCACTAAATCTTTAATCTTTCAGATCTGAAAAATCCACAGGTGTTTCTGTCCATCCTTCTACGGTGAGAAGACAACTCAGTGGTCTGAAAGGATGTGTAGCTGTCAAGAACCTCTTACTGAGAAAAGGAAAGACATTAAAGAAGAACATTTGCACTAAAATATTAAACCTGGACATCTTAGATGTGGTTTAAGCATTTATGGACTGATTACTACATTTGTAATTTGGTTTATTTGGATTGTGAGAACAGAAAATCCAACCAACTTCTAAGACTGAACTTTGGAGGTCTGGAAAAATATTCCTGCAGATTTCTTTGAAAAGCTGAAAGCAAGAATGGAAACTGTGATTAAGGTAAAGAGTGGACACACTAAATACTGAATAAAATTATAGTTAGTTGTTGAGGCTTCTGTGTAATTCTTGTGCTAAATATGTTTTCTGCTTTGTTTCCTGACTCTTAAAAATGAATGAGTTGTACTTAATGGCTGTTTTGACTAAAAATTAATAAATAAATAAAGAAAGGGTGGTCACTGACTTTTGCACAGTAGGCAGGTGTTTCTAATGAAGTGGACAGTGAGAGTAAAGAGAAGCATGGAGCATCCTAGCTTTCAAAGTATGAAAGCACTGTGAAAGCATTTAAAAATGAGCAGAGAAGGAGGATCTCAGTAGCGTGAGAGACAGAAAAGGAGAGAGAGAGAGAGACATTCAGGTAGACATGAGAGAAAGGCAAAGTAGAAGGGATGTCAAGAACACATTGTAATCCCCCCAGCAGCCCCCTTCCCTGGTGCATGGTGGGTAAATAAATCCTGTCACAGTCATTGGCTGCTGCTGTTGCTGCTGTCTGGCCCTCCTCTTCCTCGCGTTATTAATATGCATGCTAATGCACCTATTTTATGGCTCAACAGTTCTGATTCACTTTAAAATCAATTATCCATCTGGTACACCCATACTTTGCACCAGCTCAAATGTGTATTAATTTCGGCAAACATACATGCGGCACAACACAATAAAGATAAATGGCTCGATTAGGAGTGGTAAACAAAGGAGCTGGGGAGGGAGTTTTAATGAGATCAGGCATGGAAGGAAACCTACAGTTCCTTAAATAATGAGCCCTGATCTTCAGCTGCCTTTTTTTTCCCCTCCCTTTTTTTTCTTCAAATGCAAATTATACTAAGTTATGTCGCGCTGTCCTGCGTTTTCCAATTTCATTTAGATAAGAGCGAGTGTGGATAAGTCTGGAGTTAATATTTTCACATGAGCACTCCACAGACTCTCTCTCTCCTTCTCTCCCCAGCTCTCTCTCTCTCTCTTGCTCTTCCACAGCTGAGCGTTGATCCATAAGAACTTCTGAAAAGTTCACGCGGCTTGTTAAAAGTTCAATCTGACCAGACTGCCATTTACATACTGCTGCTAGCGCGCCGCTCCCTCTGAAGGATATTAATCCGGCCCCCGTTCATTTTAGGGTCACCTCCTCTGTGTGGCTAGCGAGTGAACTCGGCAGTGGGCGTTCGTCTGGGTATGCAGATGTGTGCACGCGTGGTAGGGATGGGGATGATGAAGTGGAGGCCTCGGTCGCGGCTCTGAAGCTGCTAGCGGCTCCTGAGATTCTGCGGCGCTGTCATTAGCCAGAGCAGAGGTCAGGCAGATGGACTGGTGAACCCCTAATAGAACATTACCCCAATTTTCCTCTTCATTTGCGCCGGTAATGCGGACGGCACTCGGCCGGGCGCGAGGCCAGAGGCGACTGGTCCGCCTCACTGGGCTCGCTTCCATATGAGATGACCCGATTCTGAGGGCTAACCAATGGTTAAAGAGCCCAAAGTGTCAAACAGCCAGTCAGGTGGGACCTCGAATGTCATACAGCCAATCAGCATCTCATTCTGTGTTTGAGATCTCTTCTGAACAGGGGCGTCATGCAAACAAAATTTGTGCCCCCCAGGGACCTAGCTAGCTATTAGCTCCTTTTATAGGACACTAAGTTATATACGATAAATATTCATAGATCTTTAGATTAAATTAGTGGTACAAAACATAAAACAGTATAATTTTTCACCTGAGTGTCACTGTACCTTATTGCAGAGGTTGTGTGAGATGTCCATAGGAAACAGTAGAGCTGCATTTGCCATAGCAACATATTTTAACAGCCATCAGACTGGTGTTTCTCAAGATTCACCCTGACCACTTTTGTATCATAAAAGCAACGTTTTTTTTTTTAAGATTTCTGCATAATTACATCATTGATATGTAATCAGAGTCATTCAGAGTGGTTTGGTGTGAAATACTCTTGTTCTAGAGAAACTAATCGAGTCTGAATTGTTCACAGCTTAATAAACGTCCACCTCTAAAAGCTCCCACACAGAAAGTTATTACATGAAATGGTTATGAATTCACTCCTTAATGACTGAGACATTGTATTATGATAGTTTTGCAACCAGGTTTTGCTTAAAACATATTTTGTTTTGATTTTTTTGTAATTTGCCAGTATTTGCCATCATCAACATTCCATATAAAACTCAGGAGGCATGTGTGGGCTTACTGGTGATTTTGGATTGTAAGTAAAGTGGCTGTGTTTGTGTTGCAGACTTTGTGACCCCTGGTTCCTATCACCACCACTTTCACATTAAAATTTCATATCAAAGTGGGGGAGCAGTGCACTGCGAGAGGGAGTGGCGTCTGTCTTCAGTTACTCTTCCTGTCTGATGTCTGATCTCTTTTTTTGCACGATAGGAAGATAGGAAGTGGAGAGATTTCACACATTTTTTCTTTCAGGCCACATTAAAATGCAGTTCATTAAGCAATTTATTTACATATTACTGATTGCTGGGCTACTTAATGCCAGCCCAAAGTTGATTTTTGGTCAAGCTCAGTAAAGGCTATTTAAAAGCTCATCAGAGAGCAGTGGTACTGACCGAGCACCAATGATGTGGCACAGCTGCAAGAAGCAGATTTGCTTATAGAGTGTGTGAGATCTTCATTCATACTAGGCCCGATGATAAAATGATAGCAATAATTATTGAAATCAAGCTCTTTTTTGATATTGATAATGCATATTTGAAGCATTCTTTGATAAAATTATTAATCAAGCAGAAAAGGCTCAAACTTTGATTTATATTACTGTACACTAGGTGGCTTTTACTTGCCAGGGAGGGAAAAGAAGTCTAGCCATTCACTCATGACACCATAAACCAGCAGCTAAGCAGCTATTGTCAATGTTGAAATTATGGAGAGTTTGAAGTCTCAGAGCAAGAATGGCATAGAGGCAAGAAAACGGCACATACCCTTATCAATGTTGAATTGGATAGTTATTTCTTGATTATATTCTCAATTTTCTCAATTAAATATCATATCGCTGTTGTTGGAACAAAACCTTGTATCTCCAAAATGGTAACTTTACAGGGGAAGGAAAAAACCTTATTTACTTTTAATGTAAGCCAGTGGAACCAGACTTTTTTCCAATTTTGGGTCATTTCTTTTAGGCCACCCTTGATGACATTTACACACAATGTAAAGGGAAACAGGCATTTTCAAATGATGTCAAAAACTGAAAAACGATACAAGGTTTTGTCCTGACAGCAGCGATATGCTAAAGAAATATATATTGTGTGAACACGTTTCAGCCATATCACTTAGCTCTACTCTAATACTGCTTAATATTATTAACACTGCTGCTCTCTGCTCCACATCTGCTCTCAACACTCTATTACACTAATATTTTACCACCGAACACGGTCCAGGCGTAGTCAGCGTAAGAGTGTGTGATGCCGTGGGTGTTTCTTAACTCACTCAGCATGCCCATCCCCAGCATGAAGGCGTCCATGGTGTAGGGGAGACCCCTGGCCCGGCCCCGCGTCCCAGGGGGGAACATCACCTCCTTCGGCTGGGCCTTCTTACACTCTACCTGTGGACACAGACAGAGAAAAGCCATCAGCAGCAGAATAAACATGTTTACCTGCCATCAGAATCGAGCGTTTATGGAGTTTGTTGACAGTCCTGCTCTATGACCCAGATGACACATGGCCCAAAACTGAAATTCATTAAAAGACTCTTCTTTACAGCGGTAGTGATAGGAAGCATGTCTACAACACAAATATAGGCATTTTATTTATGATCTAAAATGACCAGTGGACCTACATGTGAGTTTTCTATGTGTAATGTTGATGATGCTAAAATAGTGGTGAATCAAAAAATTATGTTTTCTTTGACGACTGTTTTGCTTTACAACGGCCTGCATGTACCTCTCCATCATTGGTTGATTAAAAAAAACTTTTTAGACCAAAAGCCAATATTAAAACTATTGCAAAACAATACTTCTGGCATCAGGCAGTGTATTCATAACCATTTCATATAATACCTTAAGCTTTTAAAGGCTTTAAAAGTTTCAGACGTCTGGTTCCTATCACCACCACTGGAAACAAATCTGAAAGTGCCCCCCAGGTACTCAGCTAGCTAGTAGCACCTTTTTTATAGAAAATTCATTATATTTGATAAATATTCATATGCTTTCACAGTATACCAATGCTTTAGATTAAATTAGGCGTTTCGGACGTGTTTCTCAAGATTCACCCTGACCACTTGTGATTTTGTACCAACAAAGTAACGTTGTTTTTCCAAATTTCCGCGTAATTAAATCATTGAGATGTAAACAAAGTCATTCAGAGTGGTTTGGTGTGAAGTGCTCTGCTCTAGATTACTAAGTCAGAATTGTTCACAGTGGTGGTGATAGGAACCAAACGTCCACCTTTTAAATGCTCACAGAAAGCTATTACATGAAATGGTTACGAATATGCTTCTTAGTGACTGAGACATTGTTGCTTTAAAAGCTTCAGACGTCTGGTTCCCTATCACCACCACTGTGCACAATTCTGACTCTCTATGTTTCTCTAGAACAGAGCATTTCACACCAAACCACTCTGAAAGATTCTGCTATCTGTTACGATTGAAGTACGCAGACATTTTGGAAAACCGGTGGCATTGCCCTTTAAAGACCTAGCAGACAGCCAACAAGCTGGCCCAGTTTCTTTTTCAGCACTGTAAGTGCTCTTCAGGACGCTGCAGACACTTCCTCAGGTCTGTGCTGTTTTATTTAAAGCACTTTGCTTCTTCTGAAACAGACCTGAGATCTCCACTCTGTGCCTCTCACTCTCTCTCTTTCTCTCTCTGCTGGACAGTAACATCCTGAACCCCCCTCCCCCACTGTTTCTGACTGACATGCTTGATCTATGTGTATGTGTGGAGGCTCTAAGCGGTCCACCAGCAGACAGCAGACACACTGTCATGGAGGAATAGGAGGAGGGCGTCTTCGCTCTTTGTGTATGTGTGAGCTGGAATACGGTGCTGTGCAAAAGTCACTTATTTCATTTCCAGTCGAAAGTACAAGTTATTCATTTTTCAGTATCAGGAATAGAAGCAGAAAACATGTATTTAATAGAAAATTACACAGAAGCCTCAACAACTGCACAGATGTTCCAGCGTTTACTGTGTCCACTCTTTACCTTTATTACAGCTTCCATTCTTTTCATGAGACTCAACTCAGCTTTTCAAAGAAATCTGCAGCCACACCTTCAAAGTTCAGTCTTAGAAGTTGGTTGCATTTTCTGCTTCTCGCAATCCAAGTAACCCAAACGCATTCAGTAATGTTGAGGTCTGGACTCTGGGGTGGTCAGTCTTCAGACTTACAGCACTCAGTTGTCTTCTCATGGTGCAAGGATGGACTGTGTATGTTTTCCGATCTGAAGCAGCTTGATTTTCTCCTCTCTCTCAGAGATGAAGGCTATAAGTGCTGTTTATCTGATGGCGACAGTTTTGTCTATCAGGTCTTGCAGGTGGTTGTTAGGAGTCACATTTTCTCTGTTTTAATCATTTTTTCAACTTCAGTTTTGGAAACTCATTTTACTTTGACTTTCCTCTCTATTGTATGATATGCTTATGTAAGATGATCTTATGGAATCTCAGATATATCTCTAAAATAGCTTATTTGTACATAAAGACTTTTTTGACAGGATCTTAAATAAATGAAGGCTGGTCTATTGCACTGTACAGCGTTTCTTCCAATGAAAGGAGCAAAATGCATGTGTGACACATACATACATAGAAAAAGCAACTTCATTGACATACACAGCATGCATACACCTGCTCTCACGTTCAGCCAAAGAAACACACACACACGCACACACACACACACACACACACACACACACACACACACACACGCACACACACACAGGAGTCTCATCCATCCTTCGGAGTGGAGCAGCTGGGGTAAACAGAGCAGGACCTGTGTGGGAGGGGGATCAGAGCAGAAATAACATTCCTTTCTGACAACCAACCAAAGGTGTGTGTGTGTTTAAGAGTGTGTGTATGAGAGTATTTGTGTGTGTGTGCATGTGTGTGTGTGTGTGGGGGGGGGCTCCTGACAGGAGCGCGCTCTTTGCTAGGCCGAGCTTGTATTCGCACTCTGCTGAATCTGTCTGCTCCAGCCCCGCTCTGCTGGGCTCGGCCGTGCGGTGATCGGCTCGTCAGCCTGCTGCCCCAGGCCTGTCCATCTGTGTATCTGTCTGCTGCTGCCCACACTGACTATCTCCCTCTCTCTCTCACTCCAGTCCATGTCTCTCTCGCTCTCATTCTTCTATCTACCTTTTTCTTGCTCTCTCTCCTCTCTTTCTCCTCTCTTATCTCTACTCTTTTGCTCTCCCTCCCTTTCTACCTCTCTATCTCTCCTCTCTCTCCTTTCCCTCTCCTCTCTTTCTCCCTCCCTTCCTCTCTCTTTCTTCATGTTGCCTCCTTCTCTGTTTCTCTCTTTTTCCCTTCTCTCTCTTTATTTCCTTTTCTCTCTGTCTATATCCACTCTCTATCGCTCTGTCCCTCCTCTTTCCTCCCTCGTCTCTCACTCCCTCTCCCTCCTTTCTCTTTTCCTTTCCTTTCGCTCTCTCTCCTTGTCTTTCCTCTCCCTCTCTTTTTCTCTTATTTGTCCCTCACTCTCTCTCCCTCTTTCCTTTCTCTCTCTCTCCCTTTGTCTTTCCTCTCTCTCTCTCCCTTTTCCTCCCTCCTCTCTTTCCTTTCTCTCTCTTTCTCTCTCTCCCTGCCTCTTTCATCTCTCTCTCCCCCTTCACCCCCTATTGTAATTCATATGTCATCTCTGTTTGAATGTCAGACAGACTCTGTACACTGCGGCCGAGACAGTTGTTGGAGGAAAACACACACACACCCACACACACACACACCCCCCCACACACACACCCACACACACACACACCCCCCCCACACACACACCCACACACACACACACACCCCCCCACACACACACCCACACGCGTACGCGGCTCTCCTGCTGACACTCATCACACCAGTGCGCGCAGCATTCTCCCAGACAATCAGGGAAATATTTTTAGTCTCGACTGCAGCAGAAGAGGAGTGGAGAAGAAAGAGACGCACATGTAGAGACAGAAGGGTGCATATGTTCACTTAGCAGGCCGGATTTAACACGCGGCTCAGCAACATGCTGAATGTAGAGCAGCTCAACAGACTCATCTCATCCTCACAGTAATGATATCTCTGTCAGCGGACGCCCGGCGTCGTCAGGGAACTCTCTGCTTGACAGGTGGCAACTCAAGCCACACACACGCGCACACACACACACACACACAGGCTGCTTTCTGAGACTGTGCTCCTCCTGGGCATCGTTTGGCCGAATCTTTTCCATTTAAGCCTCCAGCTCTCTCTCTTTCTCTCTCTCTCTCTCTCTCTCACTCGCTCGCTGTCTTCAGAACGACAGGCGTTTGCAGAGTGCTGTGATTTTTCTAGCAGCTCTGAGAGAAGCTCTATGTGTGTGTTTTGTGGGTTTGTTTTTATACATATTCAGGACCTCTGCAAGAAAACAGGGCTGACCTGCACAACCCATAAAATGGGCCATATTATTATTATATATAGGTAATTACATGTATAATGAATACATATAGGGCATATTATTACATATTGCTGCTTACATATCTATATATATGTATATATAAAAGGAGCATATTTACATAACACACACACACACACACACACATTTTCCGTTAAACTACCAAACTGTTTAGTCTGTTGTGCTACGGATGCTACCAGATAGCCTGAGCTAACAGTTTGACAGACATAGCCACAATAACTAGGGGAGGCAGGACTTTACATTCCATTACATTCCTCTCTTTATTACACTTTGCCTCCTTGCTCCCAAACCTTCACACTAGGGGCCGGATTACACTCCAGCACAGACACAGGGCATAATGTGCCTCAATGCTACTGCAATAAACATCCACAATGCACCTGTATTTAATATCTGAAGGAAAAAAATTAGAAAACATTTGACAGAAAATTACACAGAAGCCTCAACAACTACATATAATAATCCATATCTAGTCTTTCCGCACTTTACCTTTACTACAGCTTCCATTCTCCTCGAGAAATTTGCTTTCAGTATTTTTACACACCTTCAAAGTTCAGTCTTAGAAGTTGCATTTTCTGCTTCTCAGTAATCCCAACAAATTTAGACTCATCAGTCCATGAAGCCCTTCTCCACACACGTACATGAGAAAGAAAGGTGCGAGGCAGCTAAGGTGTGCCTGTGAATGTTAGGGTCTCTTCGAAGGGGAACATAACATCAGTGGTCAGCTTTTGGTGGGGAGGTCGCAGCTTCAACTCAGTTAAAGTGGCAGGAGGTGCACAAAAGCAAAGAATGGACAAAGTAAATGCCGATAGATTTGATATACTTAGTGCCCAGGGCTTCTGTGTAATTTTCTGCTAAATATATGTTTCCTGGTTTTTTCTGACACTGGAAAATGAATAAGTTGTACTTAATGGCCATTTTGACAGGAAATGAAATAAATTAAGGGTGGTCTCTGACTTTTGCACAGGAATGTACAATAC